GAAATTCCAATTTATTAACTTTTCCTCGGCTCTAACTAGCTTTTTACCGCCTCGATTGTGTTCAAACAGGCTGAAATCATTAATTCGAGTGATAAATTCAGGTCGTGCACGCTTAAATTTGAAGCGAAGGCAAGAAAAGTAAATTTTAGAAATTCCAATTTATTAACTTTTCCTCGGCTCTAACTAGCTTTTTACCGCCTCGATTGTGTTCAAACAGGCTGAAATCATTAATTCGAGTGATAAATTCAGGTCGTGCACACTTAAATTTGAAGCGAAGGCAAGAAAAGTAAAATTAAGAAATTCCAATTTATTAACTTTTCCTCGGCTCTAACTAGCTTTTTACCGCATCGATTGTGTTCAAACAGGCTGAAATCATTAATTCGAGTGATAAATTCAGGTCGTGCACGCTTAAATTTGAAGCGAAGGCAAGAAAAGTAAATTTTAGAAATTCCAATTTATTAACTTTTCCTCGGCTCTAACTAGCTTTTTACCGCCTCGATTGTGTTCAAACAGGCTGAAATCATTAATTCGAGTGATAAATTCAGGTCGTGCACACTTAAATTTGAAGCGATGGCAAGAAAAGTAAAATTAAGAAATTCCAATTTATTAACTTTTCCTCGGCTCTAACTAGCTTTTTACCGCCTCGATTGTGTTCAAACAGGCTGAAATCATTAATTCGAGTGATAAATTCAGGTCGTGCACGCTTAAATTTGAAGCGAAGGCAAGAAAAGTAAAATTAAGAAAACCCAATTTATTAACTTTTCCTCGGCTCTAACTAGCTTTTTACCGCATCGATTGTGTTCAAACAGGCTGAAATCATTAATTCGAGTGATAAATTCAGGTCGTGCACGCTTAAATTTGAAGCGAAGGCAAGAAAAGTAAATTTTAGAAATTCCAATTTATTAACTTTTCCTCGGCTCTAACTAGCTTTTTACCGCCTCGATTGTGTTCAAACAGGCTGAAATCATTAATTCGAGTGATAAATTCAGGTCGTGCACACTTAAATTTGAAGCGATGGCAAGAAAAGTAAAATTAAGAAATTCCAATTTATTAACTTTTCCTCGGCTCTAACTAGCTTTTTACCGCCTCGATTGTGTTCAAACAGGCTGAAATCATTAATTCGAGTGATAAATTCAGGTCGTGCACGCTTAAATTTGAAGCGAAGGCAAGAAAAGTAAATTTTAGAAACACCAATTTATTAACTTTTCCTCGGCTCTAACTAGCTTTTTACCGCATCGATTGTGTTCAAACAGGCTGAAATCATTAATTCGAGTGATAAATTCAGGTCGTGCACGCTTAAATTTGAAGCGAAGGCAAGAAAAGTAAATTTTAGAAATTCCAATTTATTAACTTTTCCTCGGCTCTAACTAGCTTTTTACCGCCTCGATTGTGTTCAAACAGGCTGAAATCATTAATTCGAGTGATAAATTCAGGTCGTGCACACTTAAATTTGAAGCGATGGCAAGAAAAGTAAAATTAAGAAATTCCAATTTATTAACTTTTCCTCGGCTCTAACTAGCTTTTTACCGCCTCGATTGTGTTCAAACAGGCTGAAATCATTAATTCGAGTGATAAATTCAGGTCGTGCACGCTTAAATTTGAAGCGAAGGCAAGAAAAGTAAATTTTAGAAACACCAATTTATTAACTTTTCCTCGGCTCTAACTAGCTTTTTACCGCCTCGATTGTGTTCAAACAGGCTGAAATCATTAATTCGAGTGATAAATTCAGGTCGTGCACGCTTAAATTTGAAGCGAAGGCAAGAAAAGTAAAATTAAGAAAACCCAATTTATTAACTTTTCCTCGGCTCTAACTAGCTTTTTACCGCCTCGATTGTGTTCAAACAGGCTGAAATCATTAATTCGAGTGATAAATTCAGGTCGTGCACGCTTAAATTTGAAGCGAAGGCAAGAAAAGTAAATTTTAGAAACACCAATTTATTAACTTTTCCTCGGCTCTAACTAGCTTTTTACCGCCTCGATTGTGTTCAAACAGGCTGAAATCATTAATTCGAGTGATAAATTCAGGTCGTGCACGCTTAAATTTGAAGCGAAGGCAAGAAAAGTAAAATTAAGAAAACCCAATTTATTAACTTTTCCTCGGCTCTAACTAGCTTTTTACCGCCTCGATTGTGTTTAAACAGGCTGAAATCATTAATTCGAGTGATAAATTCAGGTCGTGCACGCTTAAATTTGAAGCGAAGGCAAGAAAAGTAAAATTAAGAAAACCCAATTTATTAACTTTTCCTCGGCTCTAACTAGCTTTTTACCGCCTCGATTGTGATCAAACAGGCTGAAATCATTAATTCGAGTGATAAATTCAGGTCGTGCACACTTAAATTTGAAGCGAAGGCAAGAAAAGTAAAATTAAGAAAACCCAATTTATTAACTTTTCCTCGGCTCTAACTAGCTTTTTACCGCCTCGATTGTGTTCAAACAGGCTGAAATCATTAATTCGAGTGATAAATTCAGGTCGTGCACACTTAAATTTGAAGCGAAGTCAAGAAAAGTAAAATTAAGAAAACCCAATTTATTAATTTTTCCCTGGCTCAAAGTAGATTTTAACCGCCTTGATTGCGTTCATACTCAATGCAATAAGAAAGGAGTATTTCTGCCGCTGACATTAGGGGACTGAGCACTGGAGTTTTCTATACCAGAATGCAAATTTGATTTTATGTCACAAAAGTACAATTATTCAAATTAATCTAGACAGTCTTCTCAGTGGATACAAGATTCTGGAAAATCGTTCTTTCAACGATATATTTCTAGGAGAAAATACAATTTAAAATAGCAAAATTCACCGAATTTACTTTTACGACCTTTTTCGGCACTCTCCTTTTTGTCGATTTCATTTTTGAACGTCCTGTTCCGTGCCATTACCCTTCCCAATTACATCCTGTATTATCACATTCCAGCTTTACAACTCGAGAGCATTCCCTCACGCATTCACGGAAATCTCATGCGTCCGGCGTTATATTAAAAGCGTTGGCGGATTGGATTTGTTCCCGAGGCCGTTTCCCTCTGCCACTCTATATTGTGCAGAGCAGTCGTCAGATTGATGCACCTGCTGGGACCATCGCTGCGAGCGAACACGTGTGTGTTTCGCGCCGTCTCTCGTTTATTAGCATGCAAATTCTCGTGTCATCGGCCGCGGAAAGCGAAATGACATCTCCATTTGCGCACACGTGACATAGCCTCCGAGCCTAGGAGCTCATGTTCTGTGTTTCGCAATCTCGCACACAGAGAAAGAGGAAAAAATTGATGAGAACATGCTGCATTATGCGTCAGTCAGTCGCAGATCAAACCGTCCACCAGGGAAAATTGAACGGATTGCGTGACGCCGGCGGCGGCTGCAGCGCCAAGGATTTTCTTTTGTCGCCGGAATTCTTTGCCAAGATGACGTTTTCTTTTATGGGGGTTATTCACATTATTCAATCTCTGGCATATAATAAACCGACTTGCTGCTATTAATGTTTGCCATATCTTGTTTACATGATTTAATATATTATTATATATTGCCAGAAAAGACCACTTAAATTAAATAGCGAACCTTGGGATGTGAATAGAGGGATAAATTTGCAGATTCTAACATCTTAACAAAAAAGTCACAATTGTTTATCATAAAATTTCAGCCTTTAAAATTACTAACATAAGATCTTTTTAGCATAAAATAATATATCACACAATTCAAACACTGGTAAGCTACTTGCTTGTACTAAACGATTTGATTTTAATTTATTATCCAACTAGATGCCGCAACTTTGAAAAAATATAAATTTGCATATTGCATTTAAATAAAATGATAAATTTTTTTGTTTCAATCAATGATACCCAATTCTGCTGTTTTTGGTAGTTTGAAAATTATTGGTTCAACAAATATAAAATACAAATATTATTTAAATCTTTGAATTACCATAAAATTCGCATAAACAAAAAATACAATACGACTACTTTAAAAAAACTTAAAATTACAAATATAAATTATACGATTTTATTTTATAAAGTAAATTTGTATGCATTTTAGCGTTTTCAGAATGATAAAACTTGGATAAACGAGTATTTCAATTTTCAGATCCCTTCCCATTTGCTTAAATCGCTTTTGCATGATTTCCCATCTGACCTGCACTAATAATCTTGATTCGAATCACGCTTTCCCGCTAATAAACTTCATTGTTCGGAGAAAGCACTCGATTTCGCCTCATGACTAACTAGTTGCATCCTTCATAAACGTGTGCGCACGTAGACGTGTTCCGGCCTTATTGCCTCTAAGCGCGACCTCGCGCGTCTAATTATCCACTCAGAAGTGTAAATCGCGTACAAGCTAAAGTGATCACATCAAAACTTAATTTCATTTATGTCGTTTACAACAGCATTGAATGTGAAAAATTAGTCGGAAACGACTGCTGACAAGGCCATTTAGCGCCGCTACAAGTAAGTGTTTGTGAAGCTCGGATTTAATTTCTGTATTTATGCACTTTTCATGTAGCGATGCATATTATTTATGCAAATTACTGCAAACGCTATCTACTACTGCAGGCGTTCTACATGTGATCCGATACAAAGTGGACAATGCAGCTTTTCTAGGTTAACCTTCAAAAGTTAAAATGGCTTGCAAAGTATGAATAGGCTGAGATTGAGTCAATTTAAACTTTGAGAACAAGGAATGGCATTGGCAACGGAACATGTATACTAGAATTAAAACTGCCACAAATAAATATTAACAAAATTTTGACAAGATATTGTAATTAGAAATTGATAAAAAGAAATATAGTAGAAAATAATATAAAAATATTTTATGCTTCATCATTGTCTAATTCTCCTTGATAAATGAAAAAACTCTGCCAAAAATGTGTTTACCCTCTCATGTTTTATCACTGCATATTAAAATGTGCCGTATTATGGCGTGTCCCGGCGGCGGATCGAAAAAAACTAGATTATTTTTCATGCACGAGTGCCTCTTTGAAGGACGAAAAAGGGGTTGACAAAGGATAGCTTCCGTCTCATTTTATTTTTTCTCCACTGCGACGAGTGATTTATTGCTAGTAAGGGTACTTGACACGCGTCTCCACGTACTTCTTGATGGCCGGCAGTGCGAACACGCGGTCCCTGAGCGCCTTGAGCGCCGGCTTGTCTGCCACCAACTCCTTGCCAGCCATGTGCGACAGATAGTCGATCAGCGAGCCGTACGCAATGTCCACCCACGTTAGCTAATTGGCAAAAAGTATCTCGAATTACAAAATCCCAAAAGTAATCTTGGGATTGCAAAACAAATCCCATATTTTTTATTATCTTAAAAGTTAATAATTTTACCTGTCCACCAACAAAGTAGCCGCCATTTTCGTTTACCAATTTCTCCAGGTTGCGTAGGTACATTGGTGCCAAATTTTCAAGCACCTCTTTCCGTTTTTCGTCTGCAGAAGCCTTGTTTGGCTCATAAAAGTATCCCAGCATCACTTAAAGAAGAAAATTAAATTTTTTTTCCAAGGTTCGATTTTTTTTATTATGAAGAATCTAAACAAATAAATTTTTGAATTAAAAAAAGCAAAAGTAACTTACTGACTCGAAGGTCTGTGATTGTGTCGTAGGCGATGTCGCACTGCAGAGCTTCAAACTCATTTTGGCCGTAAAGGGTGCCGCCGGCCTTTCGGGCGAGATAACGCAGAATGGCAGCCGACTGATGCATTCTCAAACCGTCCATTTCCAGGACGGGCAGTTTTCCGAACGGATAGCCTGCGAGTCGCCATTATTCCCAAATCACAGAAAATCAAGATTTATCCAACTCACTCGGTTTCTTGGCAGGGAAATCTTCCACGGAGATGATTTCCTCTTCCCACTCGACGTTCGTGTAGGCCATCATGAAGCGCAGGGGCTCGCCCAGCCCGTGGAAGGGAAAGTAGATCATCTTTGCCTTCGGTGCCATCTTTGCTGAAACTGAAATCTCAAATTGCAGATCGGATCTTTTGTACGTTCATTCAATTTTGATTACTCACGCTCTGCACTTTCGAGAGTGAAGCTAAGCGGCTGATGGTGAGATAAAAAGTGACATCACTTGGGCCTCCGTTTGGATTTGCTGAGAGTTTAATCGAGCACCAAGTGATAAGGCGATAAAGACATGGAGCTCAGAATGGGCTGAGCGATGATTTGACAATTTTCGTTACTAATTTTGAATTATTCTTATCAGATAAGTGCGATGATCATACAACCACTATAAACTTAATACTTCTTTAATAATGATGAAATTAATTGCAAATAATGAAAACATATTTTTTACATTGTTATATTTTTTTGTACCCTAAATTAATCATTCATTTCAAAATATTAATCATAATTTTTTTTCAACTTTTGTTCGAATACTCTCATTTTTAAAGAAATGAGAGAAAGGAGAACAAACGAAGTCAAGGAAATAAATGAGCATATGGTACAGTTTTTTTCCACCGCAGTTCTTTTTTCTCACTCTCTAGCTTCTCTGCATGCACCATACAATTCGTCACTGTCTTTCAGGCAGCGTAAAAATTCGTCTTAGTCTCTCGACGCCTCGTGAATTATTTTTCTCTATCGCGAAAGGCGCACAGACGACGAGTCTTGAGAGCGTCTCGGTTTTGGGGCTCTTGCTGGAAAATTAATTACAACTTCATCCTCTTTCCCGCACGGCCATCATTATGTATTACAAACGATCCTCCGCCTTCTTTTCAGAATAATTTTCAACTTGCCGATTTTTCATCCACTGAGCCTGTTAAACTCATTAAGCGAGAGACTTTTCTGATTAAAACTTATGAAATGACGCTCTCTGCTCAGGAAGGTCCATTGAGGATTCTGGCTGATTAAAAAAATGAGCCTATCGCTATGAAAGTTATCGACCCTGACGTAGGCGCGCGAACTAATAAAATAACGGTGGTCATTATGCTGGTCGTAATTTCGCTGCAGGAAGAGTGGCTGTAAAAAGCATTCCCTCTCTTTTATGCTGATGCGCATAATTTGATGCTGAAAAAGACGGACGTGTTAATGGAGATACACGGCTGTCCTTTAATCAGATAACAAAGGTACATAATAAACCAATGTTTTTACTTTAAAATTAAATGCAGTATAAACATGGTGCAAAAATATATTTTTAATTAAAATTATTTAATATAACCAAAAAATTAAAAGCAGAGCTCATATTTAATAATAAAAAAAAATGAAAATGTCACATAAATTTGTTACAGTTTATTTATATTTAATCCACTTATCTCCGTCTCGACTTGAAAATTGTTTGTCAATATTAAGTGTGAACTTAAAACTGAAATATGACTTTGAGTAAAAATTAATTATTGGTATTTACAGGTTGACGTTTAAAAACTAATCCAAAACTGTTGGTGTTGTGATTCATATTTAAATTATACAATACAAAAGAAAAAATTCTACGAATAGAACATTTACCTCCATGCAGAAATGCTTGATAAAGTTTCTTCACTGCTTGATGAATGAATAAATTTCCATAGTACTTCTTACATTAAATTTGTGCAATTCTGAAACTAAATATGAATGCAACAGCTCTTGCATTTATGCAGCGTTTGTAGAAAAGTATTTATTTAAACATTAATGCCCACGCTAGAAATATCCTTGACATTCTCGTGAACATTCATTGTTGGCGCAGCAGTTGGAAAAAAAACTTGGATTCAGTTGTGTAAAAATGTCATCCATCACTTTTACTTGAGGAAAGAGTGCTTTATTCTCTGCTGCTGCACAGCACGCTCTATATAATAATAATAATCCGGCGCTTGCAAGTAAAAGTGCACGGCGGAGTTTTCGCAAACTTTAGCGGATATGCACCGTCTCGAGCTCGTTCTGCACTAATGGCGGAAAAGCGCAGCGAGAGCGAAAGTGAATCAAAAGCGCAGCTCCAATAAATCCTCCGGCTGGGACGGGGGCCGTTTTCTATGCAGTTAAGCACCGCTAAGTGGCTCATTTCGCATGCACTTCCGCCGCACCACTCACTCTTCCTTTGAGTGAAAATTAATGTAATCCACTGAATTGCTGGTGGGAGAGTAAATTTTGCTGTGAACTTCTTAAGGTCAAAAATATCATGAATATAGAGCTCCTTTAATTAATATACTGTATACTTTGTAAATTAATTTATCGCTAGAGTTGCCGCTTGAAAAGGGAAATAAATACATGACTTTATATTAACTACAAGAGACAGCAATAAAATATAATTTCTGAAAGAGCGGCAAAGGTATTATTAAATATAAATAATATTTTTATTTTAAAATTTGCAATATCATTTCTAAAATTTTCAATACATATATGTAATACATTACATAATATTAAATTTAGATATTCTGAGCTTGAAATAAAGATAAAAAAAAAACCTCCCCTCTAATAAACTTCTATATGAAGATCCACGTTTAACGGAGTGCGAGAGAGTTATTGAAATGTGAATGTCAACCAATGGCATAATTAATTATAGTTAATTTAAAGGCAGTATACCTTCGCAAAAATTTTAATTTGCCACACTCTACTGACTAGCCTTTGAATAAAATTTAAAATCCGTCATTTGCTGTTTCTAACGCACATTTCGAGTGTCTGAGCGGATCTATTTATTGAACATATTTGTCAGCATTTAAAATTAAATTTATAAACAGAAGCATTTTTTACATCTATTGAGCTTTTTCTGCCGCTTTGCAACAATTACTGCCTGTTTAAAAAAAATGATCTATTATTTGTTTTTGGTTCAGTTTTTTTCCTTATGTGTCTTCATTGTCAGAGAGTGTCTTTCAACAACGAAGCTTTGCAATTCCCACAAATGCAAAATCCAATATCCTGCTCTATGCTCGGCCGCAAACCGAGATAGTAAATCACTCGCGGTTCGTCATCTTCCATTAGGACTTCGCCCGCTGGTGCCTCTGGTCGAGTACTCGCGAGCAATATATATACCCTTGTTAAGGATCTGGAGATAAATCTTCGTCGTCGAGGCGAGGTGTCTAGCACTCTCTTCGCCGGGAATAATGCATGAATTTCCTACCACACGACGTCTCGCGCCCGCCGAGAGAGAGACGACGAGTGCCAGCAGCAAACAAAACGACCGCCAAATCCATTAAAATAATGGATCGGGGAGCTCCGGATAAAATCATATTTCTCGCTGGCACAATATCAATCACCTGCTGCTCCATTAGCCTCTCTCGCGATCAAAGATATTCACTGATAAATTAATTTCAGAATCCAGCTAATTGAGATTGCGCTTTGAAATCTTATTCCTTTGATTTATTTCGCACTCAAACGGGGTTTGATGAGAGGAGAGATGGATGGAATGAGAGAAACTCGACACGCTTTCGCAACAGAGTTATCGTAATCGTTTTATTGTTCCGATAAGACATCTGAGAGAGATACATACGCTGGTGAAACAATAATGTACACGAAATGCTCTGTAATATTTCTTACTCGCCTACGTGTAATACATAAACCTTCTTTCTTTGGCATCGAAAAAGAAAAATACAATATGTGAGATTCAGCCTCTATTTGGCATTGGGAAAACAACATCTCGTAAAAACGGCGGCTAAAACAGTGGCTTTTGCTGCGGTATATTGCGAGCGACAATTATAATAGTTAAAATGCATGCTCTTTTTGTAACATCTCATAATGATTTAATTTATATTTACAAAAATCAACTGAGCAACATTGCGGCAACAATATTCTAAACCTCATCCTCTAGCAGATCTCGCGATTTTATAATATCTCATTTCTAAAATTATGAAACTCGTCTCTCGCGTCTATTCTCGAGTCTAAAAGAGCGCCTCTAACTGTGAAAATACTGCTCAGGAACAATGGATCATTTTTTAATTAATCTCCTTTCCATTTTTCTGTCAATCATCTAGCTCAGTTAAATTTTAATTAATCAACTTTTCGTGAATAGTGGGACGATTTGACTTCTCGACCGCAGGCGACATTTGTTAAAATAACTGGCAGCAAAACTGTTGTGCACTTTGACAATGGTTATATTATTTTTCGGTCCACAAGTATAATTATTCATTTATATTTTGTTTAATCTCCATACAAAATACACCAGGAAGAAGTCGTAAATTGAGGCAGACAAACCGCTTCCTTTTTCCGCTCCCACATTCACAGCAAGAGTTTATCTCTCGAGTGAATTATTTCATGTTTCTCAAATTTCAACGGCGAATAATAATTTCAATTCAAAAGTGCTTATTAACCACTCATTATAAATGTAAAACGATGAGTTATTCTTTGACATTCATCACAGATAAATCACTTCTCACTTTGATCCTCTTCGGAAAAATTGTTCCGTTACCTCCGCACCATCCTGCGGTGACATCAGGTTTACTTTAAATTGTTTTAAACTTTTATTGACTTTTCATTTTCTAAACGGTGTAGGGAGTAGTTTGCTTGCATGATTTATTTACGCGGCTGTGGATCAGCTCTTCTGATACAAAAAACGAAACACTTATTGTTAAACATTGTGGACAACTTTTCACATTGAATTGAGATTTTGCAGCTGAGATGGCTGTTGTAAGAATTAGATGATATTTTACACAAAGAAAAATTTATTCATGTGTGTTTAACCGTTCAAAAAATAATAAACTTTTATAAATGAACAAAATTTAGGATCACAAGAATAATATGTTCACAAAAGTTTAAGTGATCATTTCAAATTAACAGATCCTGTCTTTTTCAGCACCACTTTTTAATTAAACAACACTTCCAAGGTCCACAGCCGCAGTTCATATCTGCTTGTCAGGGTTGGCGCCATTTTGGTGCTCGCCGCCGTTTAGTTTGGCTCGCCTGAAGCTGAGGACTCGGCTGACGACTGACGTGGAGGCGTTGGGGTCCTCCAGCCCCCGCGAACGGGCGCGGGGGCGGCTTCGCCGTCATGCCCGCTGAGAAACGCTGCGGCTGGGGCCACCGTTGGGTCCATTGTGACCTCCCGCAGGGTCACCAATCGTCCACTCAGCACGCCGACACATGATCAGATTCTTGTACGCCTGGCGATACTCAGAACTCATGACAACGTAAATGATTGGGTTGGTGCACGTGGTCAGGTAGACCAGGATGTAGCTCAGGATGTTCAGGTTCATGAACTCGACCGCCTTGAACGTCTTGGTCAGGGTGATCGGCAGGTAGCAAACAAGGAAGCACACAAAGATGACCAGGATCATCTTCAGCAGCTTCTTGTCCTTGGCGGTCATCTTGCCAGGCTGTGGTGCCGACGGCGTGCTCGGCCGACGGCGACGGGGACTTTTGCGGAAAACTGAAGCAAAGTGGGACAGCGCCGAGTTGACCGTGACCGCAGAGGACATGCGCTCACGGCGCTGAAGGGTCGGCGACCCTGGCGCTGAGACGCTGGGCGTGGCGCTGCGATCGGGAGTAATGACGCCTCCTTCGTCGTCGCCCAGGTTGCCCGTGTCAACTCCAGAGGTTGATTGGTCCTCCATGCGAAACATTGCCTTGCCTGAGAACAAAATTACAGGGCCATATAAATAATCTAAATTATACTCATTAGTTTATATTAAAACTTTTTAAATACAATTTAAAAATCTTTATTAATTTAAAAAAAGAGTTTAATTTTTAAATTTTAATATTTTTAACAATTTAAAATAAATTTAGGCGTTTGAAATTTAAATCATTTATTTAAATAAAACATTTTTGGAACTATATTAATTGGCTAGTAAATTAAGACAATTAATTAATTATTATTATTATAAATTTCTGGTGTTCAAGCTTTTGTTACAAATTTATTACAAGATTGTTGGATGAGCCTGTTGTATTCAGTCTATGTGTGATATTTCATTGAGTAAAAGAAGTTCATTAATATAATTAATATCCCTATAAATTTTCAATGATTTTCAATTAAAATGGAATCTTTTTTTAAACAAAATTGATAATCAGAGTACACTAAATTTTTTTCATATTTCTGCGGAAAGAGTTTCTCTTTAACTTCATATTTTTCTGTGGAATCAAGAAAAATAAAATATAAAAGCATTTTATGCTAACCTAAATGCTACGCTCCTATACTATAAGCATTCAACAAATGCATTTTTTTTAATAAAATGTCATATTATAAATTATAATACAAATTATAATAAACTTTTACTCTACTAATATCGAGTTTATGAAATTATACGGATCAAGAATAAAAGAGGAAAACAACGGGACTTTAAAATGAATATTTTGTTTTTGTACTTTGCAAGTATAAATAAGTTATTTTCGAATTCAAAAAGTTTGGGCATATAAAACATATTTTTTACTAAATTTTTTTCAATGATTGTAAATTTTCAGTTAGAAAAAATTTAATTGTACTTACATAAGCAAAAGGTTGATTCTACTTTAAAATGAGAATTACCTGGAAGTTGAAGTCTCATTGGTGTTGGGGTAAGAAAGGAGCATTTTCTGCTCTTGCCGTTGGCGTCTCCAACGTCACTCTTCATGTCGGAGTGTCCGTTCGTTTCGGCAAGACTGCTGAGGCCGATGGCTGAGTCTTCAGAGGCCAGTCCATCCCTGCGCATGCTGGAGCACGTGACGCCCGAAATCTCCGAGTTGGCTCCGTTGGTGGCGACGCCGAGGAGGCCATTGTCGCCGCCGCCGTGGTTTGATGCTGCCGGCGTCGCCGTCGCACTTTTGAGGTTGCGAGCGCGCGACTTCAGCGCTGTTTTGCGCACAATGTAGAAGATGCGCGCGTAGCAAACCACGATGGCCAGGCACGGAATGAGGAAGCCGATGATGAAGAGGAACTTCTTGGGCGAGCGGTTCTGCTCGTCCGGCAGAATGGTGCAGCTCCCTATGCTGGTGTCCAGACCGAATTTGCCCCACTCGCCCAGCAGGGTTGGAATCAGCGCGCCAAATCCCGTCAGCCACGTGCATGCCACCATGAGCGCCAAGTATTTGCGTTTGTACAGTCTGGAATCACAAAAATTAGAAGATAAATAATTTCTAATGATTATTTTCTAAAATTGATCAGAAATAGCATGAAAGGTTCAATCACAAACGCCAAATAGGTGCAAACTTTAAATGACTTAACATGATTTAAATTTCAAACCTTATTTATATATTATAATTCATTTTTAGGTGGAGATATTTAAGATATTGGCCATTTTTAGAAAAAAAGAAGAAAAAATGAAAATTCAGTTTACCGCACATAATTAACTGACGTTTTGTGATTTTTTGGACTGGCTTCTATTTTTCTCCAATAAAAATAGAGGTCGTCGACCTTTTGTTCACATTTAATCCAGTATCATCCCCATACCCAAACGCAGAAAAAGAGAGCGCATGGGAGATATTGCGGAAATACACAGAAAGTTTTGCCACCCTCGCAACATCCGACGAAAAAAGACGGGTTGGCGTCGTTGGAATTCGTTTGGCGCTTTTCTCTCAAGCAACTTTAGCCGCTGCTAAAAGAAACTTTTCCGTTTTTCACTCCACTCGGCTAGCAAAGCAGAAGAGTCAGGCAATCTGCCTCGCATGCCGGTCGAGCAGGTTGCCTACCAAACTCACCTGGGATACAGTTGTGGGTGTCCGATCATGACGTAGCGGTTCAGGGTGATTGCGAACACGGTGAAGAGGGACACGGCGACCAGGCCGTACCGCAGCAGTGGCAGCAGCACGCAAAGGAATTGACCGTGGCGCCAGGCGCGTTGCCAGAAAAGTGACGCCACCAGGGGTAGGTTGAAGCAGCACAGCATCAAATCGGACACGCTCAGGTTTATGATGAAAACTGCCGTGGCATTGCGAACCTGAAACAAAATAACAGGTTTTATTAATTAAATAGCTTTTTTTTACAAAACACAAAATATTTCTTTCAACATAAATAAAAAAAACCTAATTATTTATACAAATTGAATTTCTTTTATATTTAATTTTAAAATTTTTTTATAATAATATTTAATTTGATTTCAGCATTTTATTGGTACCAATTTTATTACTTAAATTCTTTTGAATTCGAAACTAATTTATTCAAACATAACTGACGCAAACGATTTATATTTTCATGCAAGAATTTTTATTATATGTTAGCTCCATCATTTTAAACAAAATCTTTTTGTAATAATTGCTATGCACATATGCCATTATATCGATAAATTAAATATCAAATAATGATCATTTTAATATAATAAATATAATCTTCACACACAAAGAAAATTCTGTATCACATATATTGTAAAAAATGCGACAAATGCCTAAAGAAAAGTTGTAACAATGGCAAGATGGCCCCACAGTGACATTTTTCGCAGAATATCACTGGTCTTAACTGACCCATTTCTCCTGAACTGAGCAAAAAGTGCGCGCCGGGCACAAATACTCGCGCGATTTTTTCTTTATCTGCGTCCAAAAGCGAAACATTCCACAGGCTATCTTGCTTGCTTTCCTCCTTTCTCCCCATTACATCTACAATGGACGCAGCACCACTATAGTTCTTTATCTGCGTGTGCGAAATGGAACATTCACGCGGTGGCGAGACTCGTTATTTTTTATCATCTGCCGAGTGAAAACTTTTTGCCCAGATAAAGCGTATTTGTAACTTTTGTCCGCCGCTTTTTATTGCTCTCGGCTTAATTAAAAGTTGATTTTCCTCTTCTTGCGGGCTAATGAAAGCCAGGCGATGAGCGCATTAATCAAACACAGAAATAATAACTGCCGTGCTTCACCAAAAGGGGAGGTAATAAAAAGCTTTTAAATTGCTTTTCAGCCAGGAATTTGCCGCTTTAAATTCAATTTATCCTCCTTCCCAGGCAAGCCGTTTTTGGGCTGAAGCCAAAGTGGAAAAGGGTTTTATTCTGTTCTGGCAAATAAGAAATTTAATAAAGCGTTTTAGAGACGAAGGAAATTTCCGAAAGTCAAATTGAAATTTCGCGAACCTAATATTGAACGTGAGTTTTTAAATCAAAGTTAAGGAAGAAGTTTGAGCTTTGGATGACTAGCGTTTCCATACATTGTAACTGTTGGCGCTCTCTCGGCGCAAAGCGCCTCGCAAACGACCTCGTTGTAGCTACAAATTTGCATAATCCTTTTTTGTGCAGCCTCTCCACCGCCGCTGCGAAAATCACTTCCGATTTATTTATTTGGCTGCGGATTTTCCCTTCCATCGCAATTTGCTAGCACGGCTTGCTCTGAGCTGAATTTAAATCAAGCTTGATTTTTCGCGACCTCTTTTTGCAGAGGTAAAATTTTCAGGAAAGTAAAATCGCAAGTCAAATATAAAAATATTATATGTAGGGCGGGGAAAACAATGGAGATCATTCTCGGAAGCTGGCAGCGCGAATGGAAAAATTCACTTTTGCCGGCAAATGGCCCTGAGAGTGAAAAGGCCACTCTCTTTTTCCTCTTGCCATTAGGGTCGCACTCACTCTGATTGCCGTCGAACGTACAAAGGGCTCGACAATTACTTTCAATTGCACCAACCACGCACAATGAGGTTCAAAAAGCAGCGGTTTGTTTGAATCGTAGCCAATCCGCAAGAATTAGTTTGTGTCTTTCAATTAGCTCAATTTACGACTGAGAAGTACCAGTCAAAATTTTTAATTTGAAGCAAGAAACAGAATAAAATCTATAGTTCTTAAAAAAAAAATTGAATTTATTTTAGTTTAATTTCATCGAACTACAACTATGTATTTATTTCTTTTTAGAAAACTTATGACGTAAAATTGTTCTTCCTTATATATATATTTTTTTACTTCCCCCCCCCCCCCCGTTTTTTGTGTATGACAAAGTCTCAAAACTGATCATTTTGTACACTTTTATTAGGATCGTATTTGAATTTTCTCAGAGAACATTTATTTCAGTGTTCATTTTAAAGTTGAAAGTTTATTTTTTTAATTAGAAACAAGCGCAATAATTGGTATTTTGTAATGCTGTGCATCCTCTGTATTTATTGTGTGCAATCGGCCTGTCTATGGGCTGTAAAATCCACTAGCACGTGCACTCGACCTCAGTAAACGAGCATGATTTACGGCATGCCGCGTGTTTAACCGAGAAACACCTTGCCCGCCATAAAACGCGCTTTCCCATGCAGCTCGGAACAAACTGCAGGCGTCGCAGCGTGAAATTAAAAGTCGCTCGCGAATGAAACAAGGCGAAATTGCCTCTCGACAATGCAAGAGAAACGTTTTCCTGTTGCTTTGGTGCAAAAAATAAAGGGTTGCAGGCGAACACACGATGGGAATTTGCATTATTTGCACGGCTCGGCCTTGTTGCTTTTCCCGCGCGACTCGCTGTCAGCTGACGAGAAGAATTCTCTTTCAAAAAGAAAGTTTGGCCTTCAACAGTTTTGATATGTGCGGAGAAAAATTCCTTTCTTGTATTTGCTCCGTCCTGTCAATATGAAATATTAAAAAAATCCTAGATTCCTCTTCAAAAATTATTCGCGTACCAAGAGGCGATAAATCTCAAATTATTGGCTGTTAAAAGCGTCGAGTAACCAACCCTTAGCGGTTGTTGCTGAGCGAGGAAAACCGCTGAAATAATGGGCCCTGAGCGGAATTGCGACTCGGTGCCAAGTTCCACGCGACTTCTGTTTGCGGTTTGCTCACGTTGGAAGCTCACAGAGTGGCGGCGCTAATTGAGCGAGAACACTGATCAAAAATCGAAGTTGAGCAAAGTCTGCAATTAGCCGCCCATTCAAAAACGCCGCTGGCAAACAGAGCACGTCCGGTTTAATCAAATTCAGTTTTCAGGTCAAGGGTATGTCGACGGAGCTTGTTCGTCGTGATTGCAACTGACACCACCGCGTTTTCATTGTTTCGTGTGCTCTTTTATAAATTAATTTGCTGTGTTAGTTGCATTTTCTCTCAATTCTAAATTATCAACAAATAACATTGAACAAAGGAAAATTTGTATAATATTTGTTTATATTATTGATATGAATTAACAATTAAACTTTGAAATTTGCCTGAAATAATTTTGTTTCTAGTATCCCATACGTAATTGATTTTTTGTGTAAATTACATTATTCTGATATAAGTGGATGCTTTAATGAAAATACCAAATTAATAATTAAAAATAAAAAATAAAGAAACTTTTTCGGCCACCATTTATTTTTAAGGTGAAAAACATAATTCATCCGTAAATTGAGACAGCTTTGTCTCAAATAATTGTAAATTAATTTAAAAAGAGAGAATTCTTTTATAGCTATCACCTGATTTAATTTTCTGATTTGATCGTGTAATACCTTAGAAAGGCAACTTAATTAGTAATTCCAGTTTTCTTTTCCTCTATTTAGTATTTTAATTTTGTTCTAGAATTTCCAAACTTTGCAATATTCACTTTTAGATTAAACATTAAATTATTGACTTAGTATGATCGAGATATTTCCTGCGTTGTCTGTTCCTTTTCCCCTGAGGTGTTGTACTCTTTTTACCTCGTTTCTTCAAAGTGAATTACGACGTTATTTGCTTACACTGGCAATACCCTCGAGTGATGAAGGTACCAACTTGCCGGCACAAGAAGAGTGTGCAATAAAAGAGCGACTTTTTGCAGATAAATATCATACCTCCCTCGCCAATTTTATTGGTCTCTCCATCAGACTGCATCGCTCGTAAAAAGCTAATTCCGTCGGCAAATCACTAAAGTGCGACTCGTTTTAATTCGATCGAAAAGTGTCTGTCTGCGCGTCAACCCGCACCAGAGACGCTAAAAAAGGCTCGACGGGCTTTATTTCCCCAGAGTGGCATTTTTTTCTCGTTTGAAAATGTAAGCATTCTGAGCAAAATTGAATTTGCTTTTCTTCCATTTTGAGTGCGAGGAAGCCTTTTTGCAAGCAATTCGTCCGCTCGTGTAAATTGGAACTCATCTTCTGAAAGCAAACAGCCAGTGGGCGTTTGCAAATCATTGCACTTCATTTCACGCTCTCAGGCTTGAAAGCCCACATTGAAGGAAAAATCCTCGAAATGTGTTTATTTGGGAGGCAGAAAGCCAATTTTTGGCATTCCAACTACACGACGAAAACCAAATTTGAAATTTTGATGAAAATTAATTTTTGCATGTAGCAAAAATTTTTTCTCCTCGCTCAAATATGTAAATGCCAATGTTCCAATTTTAAATTAAATTTTTTACAGTATTTATCTATAACATACTGTATCATATTACGATAGCTATTTTATTTTATTTTATTATAAATTAACGTTGATAAATATTTAAAAAATACTTTACAGAAATACTAATTGTAAGATAAACAGTTTAATTAATTAATTAGATTGAATTATGTTGAGTGAGATTTTATGCATTTTTTTAATGATTATGCGGACAGTGATTGAAGTTGCATTTTTTTTTTATTAAAATTTTTTCGTTATATAAACGCAAGAACCGTAATATCCACTATGGTTTTAAAAAATTAAAAATTTTTTATTATTAACGCATCCTAATTTATTTAATAATAATTTATGTTATCTACAATGTACGGGTAGCTCATCTTTTTTGTTAAATCTCGAGAACCAAACAGCAAAATTTTACATCAAGTAAAATGTGATGTTTTGCGCCGTTGTTCTGCCGAATCAATGAATCGTCTGGGCTTGTTGAAAAATTCATCGGGTGGGTAATGGAGCCAGACACCGCCGCGCGTTTCGCATTATAAAATTTCGGTAGAACGCGCTCGTTAGGCGCGCGCTTTTCCTCTTGAAGGCGCGAGGGGGGGAAAGGGACATAATATGGAAATTCAATTCGCACAGGCTGCGTACTGCATTGTTCTTATGTGCAGCGTTTTACGATGTAAAATAAGCAGCCCGCTCGTGAATATTTCATT